GAATAGAATAGAATATTGGAATAAAAATAGAATAGAATGGAATGGAATAAGAAAGAACAGAACAGAAAAATAGAATGGAATGGAATAAGAAAGAATAGAATAGAATTGAATAGAATAGAATATCGGAATAAAAATAGAATGGAATGGAATGGAATAGAATTGAATAGAATAAGAAATAATAGAATAGAATATCGGAATAAAAATGGAATGGAATGGAATAGAATAGAATAAGAAATAATAGAATAGAATATTGGAATAAAAATAGAATTGAATTGAACTGAAAAGAAGAGAATATCGGAATAAAAATAGAATATAATGGAATGGAATGGAATGGAATTCTTTTATTGGCCAAGTGTGATTGGACACCCATGGAATTTGTCTTTGGTGCATAAGCTCTCTGTGTACATAAAAATTATTATCCTAAAATCATCATAAAAATACATTCGTCATAGTCATGAGGTACAACACTTAGTGATAGTCATAGGATACTAAATAAGCAATCAACATAAATCATACTAGGATACTAAATAAACAATACAAATCGTAAGATACAAGCAACACGGTTACATCCTAAGTAGAGAAGGTAATAGGAAAGATGAGAAGAAGAATCGTAATACAGCCTTACTAAATAGTTTAACTGAATTGTGGAAATTAGTTATTTAGCAGAGTGATAGGACGGGGGGAAAAAACTGTCCTTGTGTCTAGTTGTTCTGGTGTGCAATGCCCTATAGCGTCATTTTGAAGTTGAAACAATTTATGTCCAGGATGCAAGGGGTCTGTAGATATTTTCACAGCCCTTTTTCTGACTTGTGGAATATACAGGTCTCCAATTGAATTACATCCCTGGGATGTATTTTCCCAAAGGTGCTTTTTTTTTTTCTTTCCTTCCCCCAAGTGGCAACTGGACTTTCTCGTTTTACTTTGAAGAAGTTTCGCTTCTTGTCCAAGAAGCTTCTTCAGCTCTTTTTTATGCATTTATTTATGCATTTATTTTTTTTTGGACAGAGATGTTCCAAGCAATCTGGCCTACGGCATGCAGCCTCCCGGTTCAAATCTTAGGAGGGGGAATTCCTTATCCCACCTTCCTAACTACAATACAAAGGACTTTAATTCCGATCAGCCATTGGCTAGAAAAAGGTGGAGCGGCTCGCAGCCGGACCTACAGGCAAACCTTCTGGAAGAGACACCAAGGAATGTGAAGCTAAGAGAAGGGGGTGACTTGTTGGCAGGGCAACCTAAAGAGTTTGGAGCACGGAACCTCGTGTTGGAAGTTGACATGATGGAATTTGAGCTCTTTTCCCTAAAACAGAAGGTAATGTACGATCGTATCCTAATCCAGAGGTCTCCAAACTTGGCAACTTTAAAACTTGTGGACTTCAACTCCCAATTCTGGGAGTTGAAGTCCACAAGTCTTAAAGTTGCCAAGTTTGTGGACCCTTGTCCTAATCTGCGGACTATATAGGTAGCCCTCGACTTACAACAATTCATTTAGTGACTGTTTAAGTTACAGCGGCACTGAAAAAGGGACTCGCGGCTGTGTTTTCACACTTGTGACCTGTGGTGACCCAGGCACAAAAGCAACAAAGTCACAAAAATAGGCAAAGTCCCTTTAATACCTCCAACTTGGATCCCGGTGTCCAGTTATCATTAGCTGGAGAGAAAAAAACTCTCCCAAAAACAGTTTTCAAAAGGAAGAAATTCCGTCCAAACTCAAAGTACATATACATTATAAAGAAAAACCAACACAAACCAAACTGCAGCAATTAACGAGACAGGGCAGGATAAGGGATTGAAGAGGTCAAAAGATAACGAAACACACACACTTGGGAGGACTCCAGAACTCAGATAACACTTGACAAACCAGAATAATTTCACACTTTGCTTCCAGCAACATTGCCATGCGCAGTTTGCCCTTTTAAACAGTCTTCCCAGCTGCAGCTAATGAAGGGAATCAGGACCCTTTCCTCCCCTGTAAACCACACAACTCACGTTGCTCCCTTCTCTGTTCCTCCCTGCGTGCCCTAGGATGAAGAGGGGGTGGGCCTGGGTCTTCCTCTGAATGCCCAGCCAGACTGTGCCCTTCCCCAGTTTCCTTCACAGCCACTGGAGGCCCACTCCCACTCCCTGTCAGTTGTTCCTCCTCTTCCTCGGAATCAGATTCCAACAGAGGCATGGCATGACCATTGTAGCATCCCCATGGCCATGTGATCAAAATCCAGATGCTTGGCCACTGACTTATATTTATGACGGTTTTGCAATTTCCTGGGGTCACATGATAATCTTTTTGGACCTTCTGAAAAGCAAAGTCAATGGGGAAGGCAGATTCGCTTAACAACTGTGGTGCTAACGTCACTAACTGCAGCGATTCACTTAAAGAGTTGCAGCAAGGAAGATTACGCTACGATTATCTTCTCCGTGAAAGAATTCCTAAATCAAAGCAAATTCTCTTTCGACGAAGAGAAATTGTTACGGGAGAAAATACCAATTTTTTTTTCCCCCTCCCCACAAGGCTCTGGTTAATGTGTAGGCCTGCCTGTGAAATTTCCCCTGACTCCTGTTTTTCCTGCAGCAGATGGAAAGCTCCTTTGCCTACCTGGAGAAGGAAAGAAAGTGGTTGGAAGTGATTCGTTCGGAAGGCAGGACACGAAAAGGGGAACTGGATGATAAGTGAGTAGCCCCCCTCTTATAGTACAGGAGTGGGTGTTGCGTATCAGAAATAAAAGGGGAGAAAAATGGAAGTTAGAAATAAAAGGAGACTAGCGAATTATAAAAATGTGTTAAGATAGAGATGTAAACAACATGACAATTGTAATTGATATGATGATTAAGCTCACCATGTTTAGTATTGTCACTATATTTATACTAGAAGATATGTTAAGAGGGAGGAATGGAAAGTTTTATATACAATATTATGATTGTAAGATTAGAAAGTCAATATCAAAGTAATATATATTGTAGTAAATGTTGATGGTTGTTGCACAGATATTAGTAACCAGACAACACACTGTTTAATGGAAGACGGAATGTTTAATAGTAATAGTAATAAGAGGAGGAAGAGGAAGGAGAAGGAGAAGGAGAAGAAGGAGGAGGAGGAGGAGGAGGAGGAGAAGAAGAGGAGGAAGAAGAAGAAGAAGAAGAAGAAGAAGAAGAAGAAGAAGAAG